CCCCCCCCCCCGGCGTAGGTGGTTTGAAGCTCTCCTGGAGACACTAAGCTGTGGTGTCTAGTCAGGTAGGAGAATGGGAACCTGCCTGACCGAGCAAGCTAAGTATTATCAGAGTCAGAATGGCACCATAAGCCCTGGTGCTGAGCGATGCCACAGGGTGGCACTCATTTTTGAGAAACAGTCCAGAAATCCTCTTTTAAACAGCACCTGTCACGCATATTTTATCCTAGGAATAACCTCAACCAGTGGGAGAAGGTAATCCAAGGGGAGGAGAGTGCAATGTGGTTCTCATCCCAGCCGGTGGCCCCAGGGACCTCAGAGAAGCTGCCTGTGAAGATTGACGACTGATGGCCCTGGTGAGCTGTCCCACCTGCAGACGCTCGTCTTGCTTCTTTGACTTTTCTTCCTTTTATTTTCATGGGGGAACCTATACCTGGTGACGGGATGCCAGCCTCTCCCAGAAGGTACCATCAAGTAGAGCCATCCCACAGATGACTGCCTGCCCGGCTCATCGGTAATGCATCACAGACAGTGGCCTTCCAGGATGCAGGGCCAGAACCCGCTGTTCAAGGCTCCACTGGCCTGCAAGCCGGCCTTGTCCTACAGGCTTATGTTGCTGAGGCCTCACTGGAATGACAGACACTGTTCACAGGGGGTACTTTCCATTGTCTTTCTAGTGAGGGTTTGAAATGGTACTATTTATGATATTATACTTTGGCTTTAACACCAGTGTTGCTTTGATGTTGTTGGTTATAAATAGGAATTTTTACACATTACAATTGTGAATGTCTGTGTGTGACCTACTTGTAATTAGCGTGACTTGTAGCAGGCAGCCGCAGGCCAATGTCACTGAGGGTACAGTGAGGAAGTGTCTTTCTGCAGTTAGTAGTGGAGATGGGTTCTGGTCTCAGCCTCATGAATCAGAAGCCAGGGGTCTAAGTGTGCTCCCTTCATGTGTGCCAAGGGCTTAGGTGAGTAACCTTAACACTGAAGGAAGGAAGTAGACTTTCTGTCCCTGAGAAGAGTAGTGTCATGATAAGTCTCAGAAGTCCCAGATTCAGCTCAGAAGATGTCAGAGAATATTAACAAAAATTTTCATGTCAGTCTTGGCAAAATCACTAACCATTTTGCATAAAGAACAAAATGAAAACAAGGCATAAAAAATATTTTTAATAGGCAAGTGTTATGGGTGTAAAATACAAATTTTGAATAATGATTTCTTTATATTTTCACTTTGTGTCATTGCAAATTTTAGATTCACATTCCAAATGAAAGGTTTATTCTACAAATTATTTCATTACCATTTATTTCTCCTAAAATCAAATTAAACCATAAACTTGAAGTCTTCTGTAAGTTTTCTTTCACCTGCTGCTCCATCTCCCATGTACCCCTTCTTCCTGCTACCCAGTCCTGCATGAGCTGCGTGTCCACGACAGGGAAGGAGAGGAACCCACAGCAGTGGACCGGAGCTGATTTCTGTCTACTCTGCTCACCATGCACTGTCTACATGGAGACTGTGGTTTGGGGAGTTTCTTCTGTATATTTATGGTGAACTAGTGTTACTCCACGATGTAAATGTTTTGAGAGAATATACTAAGATAATAGTCTGTACCCCTTCCTATGAGGATAAGCCAGGAGTATAATTCTAGGGCACATTAATGCTGTAATGGTTTTTAGCACAATGACACAGTAACATTGAACCTGTAACCTGTGGTTAGTTCTGACATGGAGGAATTAGCTAGAGGCTCACAATGTGACAGGCTGGTCCGTAGCAAATTGCTAATCCACTATTCATGTGGCAGTAAGTTGGAATAGTACTTTTAATAAAATGAATTTTTAAAATATTCTTCTACATCCTCAATACTGTACACATTGTTGTTCATATGAGCTTGGTTTTTCAAAAAATAAATCAATTGTTTCTACAACATGGTTTATTTACATTGTAGCGAAGAGAGCTATACGTAAACATTGTTCTTATTTTAAAATTAACACTATGTGTTCAACTTCCTTCTGGGCTTCTGAAAGTTGCCACTTTACCTCCATAGGGCCCCTTTGCTATTGTAATTATACAATAGGAAATAAAATGAAACAGCCAGAGAGAGAAAAATGCCACTCTGGCTAGATATACACATGTATGTAACTGTACACACATGTATGCATGTAGGTATACATATGTATGAGCGAGAGAAGCAGACCCATCTATGAAAAATAAAAATTAGCCGCATTCTTCAAAAACAGTGAATTTTTTTCTCTGTTGAAAAATGTGTGTTGTTTGATAAAGAGCTGACTAGAATATGTCCTTTCTCATATTAGTGTTATGTCATGGAAGTTACTTTATGAAACTACCCCACCAAATTCAACTTCAATCACAAACGGGAATGTAGGTTAAGTTGGAGACTGAATTGCAAGGGGGGTTGAATATCACTTAAGATTGTTGTCTGATTGAATATGATATAAAATTATGTACAAATTCTTCCCAATACAGAAAACAGTTCACGGGGTCCAATGGCTCTTCTGCATTTGAAGGTTGCTGTCTGATAGATTGTTATAGGATGTTCTCTTATTTCTACAGAGCAGGTGTATCATGTGATATCTAAACAGTTTCCAAAAAGAAAAAAAATGCGAATGGGTTTATTGGTTGGTTAATTCGTTGTGAAATATTGTCACAGTAGAAATAAAGTGTGAGCAAAGGGCTATATTCTGATGTAAACTATTCACCCTGCTTTTCCCACATGTAAGATTTACGTAGGAATCATAGATTTGCCTAAAATCAAAGGTCTTGGGGTGAAGTGATATTTAGTTAACAATCTGGTTTTTGAAAAAGAAATACAGTTAGGAGTATTTTTCTGTTTTGGCAGGTGTATTTAGCAGACAAACTTTAGAGTTCTGTTGTCATCCTTTCCCCAAACCTTTCCTTAAAAGGGCAGATGGTTTTCATTGCCAAAGGTTTTGATGATTTTCTCATTAGGGTGGTATTTTATGTCGGTCCAAATTTTCATGGTCAGTGTGAACTTGGTAACTGGCTGTGAGCAGAGGCAGGATGCTCAGTTTGCAGACATTATTATTGGTTGTGCGGTTTATAATAGACCAGTTTTATTATCAAACGCCATTATTCCAGTATCTTCCCAGAGATCGTGAATGTATTTGTTAACTAGAGATTTCCTTGGAAATGCATGCCAGCAGCCTGGAGTATGGGACTGGGCAGTGGAATCAGTTCTAAAAATGCAAGCTCCTTATTCATTAGTGGTCCGCTGTGCCTTAATTAATTGGGAAAACTTTAAAGAAATGTATTGGGTTTGGAAAGTAGTCCTCAGAAATGGCTCTTTTCCTGGGGTAGGCAGGATAAGGACCCGTTTCCAAAAGTGATGGCTGTTCCTAAGGAGCAAGTGAGAACCTTGTTCTCTGTCACTCCCCACAGAGGCCAGAGCCCCTGTGCAGACGCCCACAGTGCCCCTTGAAGTGACTGTCCACAGCAACACGGGTACGTGTATGAAGTGAGAGCGTCCAGTGTAGGTTTCCTCTCTCCAGCATGCTTTTCAGTTGTTTTTATTTAATTTGTACAGTCGGCCTCAGTGGATTTTGCTTTATTGGAATGTTCAAGCACATGTATATACATGATACATGGGATTATATAAATCCTTAGCTACCTGGATATTTTAAGTACATTTAGTTTTGCATATTAGGTTCTAGTCGTTGAACTCAGAATTAAGATCTGAGCTTTAAATAGGACTAAATTACTCACCTCTCCTTGGGCCTCGCCTTTATTTTCAGTGCTGAAATTTCTCTCTTCCATTGTATGTTCCTTCTCTGCTTTTCTTCACTGTAATTAAAGACATTTAAAGGGACACACCCATGGCTAATGTTACCAAGTTGAATGGGTAGGACCTTTACTTGATTTTATTGGCATATACCCTGATGGCTCCCACCCACAACCTGCCCGGTCAGCCTGTTTTGCAGCTTCCAAGAACTGTGGCCCTGACTAGGATGTGATTTTTGCGGATTTCCGGTACACACGCATGATTTAGATTTTGAAAATCACTTCTATCTTTATGTATTTCCAACACGCTTTCTACACTCCGCTGATTTAGGGCTTAATTCTTTCAAGACACTGATTTAGTCCCATAGGTGTATTCCTTCCATTGCAAGTACTAGTCTGACTGTTAAATCACTGTAAAATGTAAACTAGTGGTAAACCAGCCACGGCTGCTTCTGGTCACATTCCCCCGTGCTTGACGGTGGCACGTGGCTGCTGTATTTTCACATTTGCATAAGTATCCTGATACACACTTTACTGATTTCTTTAGAGACTCATCCTCAGTTTGGATCAGTGATGCTCAATCCAGCACAGCTTTCCTTTTGTCTTTTTTTACCTGGACATTTGGTTGCGGGAAACATGAGATGCATTTCTGTGATGATAAAGAGCAGAAAAGAAAAAGTTTCAGTGGTGTCCGGTTCTAAATTATTAGAAATGGAACAAAGAGAAAGACACAGATGTTTCCCAGAAAACACGTTTGAAATTCGAAGAAGCATTGCTCCTCCACTGACGCTCAGTGCTTCCTCCTGGGGAGCAGTGTGAAGCGGTGCTGCTCGCCTTGCGTGTCCTGTCCTGACCGTGCCTGACCTCAAGTGGGGGTGACTGGCAGCCCTCAGGCCGGCTGCTCTGTGGGACACAGGGACTCAGAAACTCACAGCCGGACCCAGACCGCTGAGTATAGAAGTTGGTTCGCACGGTCGGTTTTCAGCTGGTGTTTGCGAGGGCTGTGTTTGCAGGAGTGTAAGTGGACAGCTTGTATTGCTACTGTAAACTCAGAGGTGTCTTATCCTTATGCTAGCCCATCTGAAATGCCCTATGGGACGGGCATGGCTGTCCTCTGCCACATCTCAGGCAGCCGGCGAGAGTGACACACGGGATGTTACCTTTCATATGACCCCTTGTACAGTGTGTATTCTGTGTGTTCACTTAGTGTGCAGATCAGAGGTGCAATGGATTTACCTGTAGGAGGCATCACTACACAACGCCCCACCTGCCACCATACCAAGCCCAGTGACCCATTGAAATAACGTGCTGGCCCCAAACACTGTGAAACAGTTACCAAAATTTGAAGAAATGCAGCATTTTGAATCTTTCTGGAAAGGAAAGGTGACTTTCTTTACAAGTTCCTATGAACAAGGGACCCTAGATCCCCGCCGAGCTCAGGCACCGAGGGTCTGCTGGCAGCCATCCCCCTGATGACCCACAACTGCTGGAACTTAAGGTGGTGACACGGTCAAACCTGCTGGGGTCTAACTTGGTTACACAGCTCCAAGCTGCGGGGATGTAAGGTGGCAGGCTCAGAACTGCAGCTCGCCCCCACGGGTTTCCAGCCCGTGGATCTGTGCCTGATGCCCACGGGCTCTCTTTTGGAAGGAGAAGGAATTTCAAGTGAACAATATCCAACTGCATTGTAGCTGACAAGCGAGTAAACTTCAAAAAATTATTTTATATGTATAACACAAATCTTTGTAAAATGCGTGAGTGCAGTGACCTGGAGAGGTCTCAGCTCTGCATTTGTAAACTATACATACTGTACATGTGTGTAATTTTCCATGGGTTCATTTGCAGTCTTTGTATTTAAAAGAAACCTTTCCTGTCACATTTGTACAGTAAGACGGTAACCTTTTATTATAACCTAAGGCGAGCTGTAAATAAACCCGTAACGCGAGCGGCCAGCGTATATGCATATCTGGGTGTCCCGCTGCGAGGCCTCCCTGTGTTTTACGTGCTTCGGAGCGGCGAGGAGTCCTTTGTCGATATGTAATTATACATATAAAGTATATATATGTATGATACCTGAAATATATTCAGAGATGTTCATAATTTTAATGGATGCCCCTCAGTGTGAATAATTGAATACAGAGTTTTTAAACACCTCCTTTCGTGTTTATCCTGAGTGTCATTTGTGGGGAAGGTGCGAGGCGTTGTGCACTGAGGAGGTGCAGCGGCCGGCCGGGCAGGTTTGGCTGTTTGGCTGCAGGCTCCAGGCCTGGTTGCTAGGAGACACCAAGTTCCCGGGCAGGTGATGCCCATGTTGGCTTCAGCCAGGAGAGCTGGGACTGTTGGGGCATGGGGTCTTCAGAAGGACTGCTTCAGGGCGCAGAGCTGAGGAACCCCAGTGTCGAGCCCCAGGCTCCGGAAGCAGCTTCCCTGCCGTCGGGTCCGCAGCAGTTCATATCCCGGGGCTCAGGGAAGGAGCCCGTGGCAGTGCTTGGTCATGTGAGCGTCGGGGTTCCTTCTGCTGTAGAGAACGTTCTAGGCCACACCTCGCTGTGCGGGGCAGTGGGCACCCTCGGGGCTTTATCTTCACGTCTCTGCTTACAGAGCTGTTTCCGGGGCTGCCTCTGCCCTGAGGGCAGGCACGTGGTAGAGTTAGGACCACAGTAAAAGTTCAGCTGCCTCCCCAGACCTGCACTAACCACGAACAAACCAGAGCCTCTCAAACCCAGCCCGTCACGCAAGGAGCCAGAGAGCCAGAGCTGCCTGAGGTGACCAGGTGGCCGGGCCCACACCTGCCCTGTGCGGGGTGACAGCCCTAAGGTGAGCCTGAGCCAGGGAGCCAGCCACCCCACGGGGACTCACGGGTGACGTGGGGAGGCAGCTTCAGAGGCAGCACAGGTGGCTGGGGGACGTGGGGTCACACTTCCTCTGTGAACCCCAACCCAGAGAAGCACAGACGGCTTGAGATATGGCTGAGGGGACGTGGCAGAGGACCAGTGGCAGGGGTCCAGAGCCAGGCAGCAGGGCCCTCGCTCGCCTTGCTCCTGCTCCTGCTCCTGCTCCCGCACCTGCGTTAAGCACCCGCTGTCCTCTGCTCTTCCTGGGAACCGTGTTCACGGCGAGATCACGGGATGTCTGGTGAACGAGGCCCAGTAGATGTCCGATTTGTGTTGGTCTCTCCCTGCCTGCCCAGCTCCCCTTGGGCGGATTACCTGTGTCCTTTAGGTGGGTGCCAGATCTGGAAATGAATGTCCCCAATTCGTAGATTTTCAGCTTCTACCACTTCCACAGCCCCGTTCCTTGAACGTGCTCGCATCTGTCCAGTCGTAAAAAATAAACCAAAAAAAGCCCAACAAGCTCCAAACCAGCAGGCTCCACAGTCCAGGGCTCGGCCCCTGCCTGACCTCCGCGCTCACGGGTGGGAGAGGAGCCCGGGGACGGGTCTGCGTTCGTCTCTAGCAGTGCCTTCGCCTCCCAGCCCCTGCGCCGGTGCCGCGAGCATCCCGCAGCCGGGGAGAGAGTCTGCATTCCTCGCGGAGCCGCGGAGCAGATGGCTTGGTTTTCAGGGTGAAGGAGGGGAGAATGGGCGGGGGTGCGGAGCAGGAAGGATTATCAGCAGTTGCCAGGTGTTTCCACGTGTCTTTCAGCGCCACCTAGAGCCTAGAGGCAAAATATCAGCCCCTGCCGAGGCCACGGCGTGGGGAGCAGCTCTGGCCGTTCCCACGTAGACGTCTGGCCTCGGGAGGTCCCGTCTGTTTTTGGCAGATACATTCTTTGCACCAATAACATAGTAAGTCAACACGTTCCTGCCTCAAACACTTTGTGGAAACATTTAGAAACGGGAGAGTCGCAGGTGAGTTTTTAAGGCTCGAGGCCAACGTGACCACCGACGTGCTGGCCTTTAGCACCTGAGCAGGGAAAGTCTCACCGTGTCTGTGCCCCACCCTGAGGGCTGACTCGGGAGAAACAGGTGTTGGGAACAAACAAATTATTTTCTTCCTGATCTAAACGAAGACTCCACAATTTTATGTGAAATGAGCCAAATTCATTCTTGTGCCAATGAGCGGAGTGAGGGCAGTGTGGGCTGGACCCGGGAGGCGACCCAGTGGCCCCAGGGGCCGCACCTCCCAGGGCTGCCTGCCGAGGTCAGGGAGCCTGGCCCCTAGCCCGTCCGTGGAGGAAGGGGAGAACACCTGTCGCCTGCCTGCGCAGGGCGGAGGCTGCGGTTATTCCACGGTCTGGAGGCATCGCCAGCCGCTCTGCTGAGCTGCTGAGCAGTTCTGAGCAGAAAGGCTCATTGCTTCATCTTCAGTACTCGGTCCCGGGAAAACCTGGGTGCCCCACGTTGGATGCTAGTGTAAAATTGATGGAGGTCAGAGACAAGGCATGTCCCGTCCTGGGTCAGGACTTAGATCCCTCGCAACGCGGGCGTTCTCAGGTCAACACTCCTGGTTGTGGCCAGACCCCTGCACACTCAGCCCTGGAGAGAGGACATCGGTGAACACTTGTGTGTCTGCCTCCAGGTGACACTCGGGGACACTTCCTCACGGAGCCGTCCAAGCTCGCAGGGGTCGTGGCCACCGCATGGCCTCTGAGCACCCACGTTGACAGCGACCATCCGGCACCTCTGAGCACCCACGTTGACAGTGACCATCCGGAAATAAAACAACGTGCCTGCCCGGAGCCTCCCAGGCCCGCCCGGTGTCATCGCGCAGCTCTGGGAGTGAGAGTTTGAGCCGAGCGGCGAGGGCTGCTCGGAGCTGGTCTCCCGGGAGCAGCTGGGTCGGCCCTGCCCTCGCGTGCTTCTGGCTGAAGGAGATTTAGACAGAGTTGGTTTCCAGAGAGGAAAGGAGAGACTTTAAGGTTTCCCCCGAGACTGGGCAGCCCGAGGAGAGAGCACAGGCGTACACTCTGCGCCTCAGCCGCGTCTCCCCGAGGAGGCGGCGCGCTCGCTCTGCTCCCCCCGTTCGCGGGCGTGTTGCCTTACGCCCAGCGCAGCGGCTGAACTCAGTGGTTGCTCAGTAATTTAGAAGAAATAACTGTGTTGCCCAGGAGAACATACCTGGAGCACGTGACAGGCACGTCCTTCCCGTACACAAACCAACAGTGAGACCCTCAGCGTTTAAAACATTTCTTAGGAAAGTAAAACCTTAAAACCGCGAGCTTGTACGTTTCTCTCCTTCCCCCTCTGACTGGCCTTGGTGGGCTGCTCCCCTTCCGATCCCCGCGCTTCCTACCAGGGAACCCCTGGGTCAGCACTGAGCCCACTGCACCATAGTCCGGTGACAGCACCTACTGCGTGCGAGAGCTCGGCGCCGTGACTGCACCTACTGCGTGCTAGAGCTCAGTGCCGTGAATGCACCTACTGCGTGCTAGAGCTCAGTGTGGTGACTACACCTACCGCGTGCTAGAGCTCAGTGCCGTGAATGCACCTACTGCGTGCTAGAGCTCAGTGTGGTGACTACACCTACCGCGTGCTAGAGCTCAGTGCCGTGAATGCACCTACTGTGTGCTAGAGCTCAGTGTGGTGACTGCACCTACTGCGTGCTAGAGCTCAGTGCCGTGAATGCACCTACTGCGTGCTAGAGCTCAGTGTGGTGACTGCACCTACTGCGTGCTAGAGCTGTGTGGTGACCGNGAAAGTAAAACCTTAAAACCGCGAGCTTGTACGTTTCTCTCCTTCCCCCTCTGACTGGCCTTGGTGGGCTGCTCCCCTTCCGATCCCCGCGCTTCCTACCAGGGAACCCCTGGGTCAGCACTGAGCCCACTGCACCATAGTCCGGTGACAGCACCTACTGCGTGCGAGAGCTCGGCGCCGTGACTGCACCTACTGCGTGCTAGAGCTCAGTGTGGTGACCGCACCTACCGCGTGCTGGAGCTCAGTGTGGTGACTGCACCTACTGCGTGCTAGAGCTCAGTGCCGTGAATGCACCTACTGCGTGCTAGAGCTCAGTGTGGTGACTGCACCTACTGTGTGCTGGAGCTCAGTGTGGTGACTGCACCTACTGCGTGCTAGAGCTCAGTGTGGTGACCGCACCTACTGTGTGCTGGATCTCAGTACAGGTGTCTGGGCTGCGCACTGTGCAGTCTTTACCGCCCTATACAAGACGCCCAACCAAGGCCGGCCTACCAGGCTTTGGGGAGGGATTGTGAGAGTGCGGGGATATTTGGATGTTTTTTCCGATTACAAAAAGTGTTTTATTTTAAAAGGTAAAACAAGCGAGCGCACCTAGTGCTCCCTGCCAAAGATGGCAAGAGGCATAAGGGAAGGAGGGCCAAGGGGGAGACTCCTGGGGGTGCGCGTCCTGGTTGCCCGGCAGCGGGGAGCTCGGTGGGGAGGGCCTCGGAATGTTTGTCCGTCTCCGCAGCAACTCGCAGCCCAGCCGGGAGCCGGGGGAGGCGGGATGTCTGAGGACTCGGAGCCTGACTGTAAGTGGACACCGAGTGTGTTGTTTGTCTGATGTTGGGTCCCCTGGGAACCCGGCGTCTCTGAGCCCCACGCAGAAAAGGAAGACCTTCCTGGAGGCTGCGCTCAGCTGCTGCATCCCCGGGTTCAGGACTGGGTTTGCGGACGAGTTGCCAACGCAGAAAACCTAGAAACAACACGCAGAGGAGACCGATCAGGGCTGTGTGTGTGTCTTCGGGAGGAAGGGGGTGAAGGGGGAGGTCTCTGGATGCTGTTCCCTTATTATTTGTAAAAAGCCACACTGCAGGACACGTTCCGTGGCACAANCAGAAAACCTAGAAACAACACGCAGAGGAGACCGATCAGGGCTGTGTGTGTGTCTTCGGGAGGAAGGGGGTGAAGGGGGAGGTCTCTGGATGCTGTTCCCTTATTATTTGTAAAAAGCCACACTGCAGGACACGTTCTGTGGCACACGGCCGTTCCACAGACCTTGCTGAGCAACCACAGGCCCCTGGAGTACCACGTGCTCCGTTTTCTCTTTAGTCTGTTTGTTTCGTCTGGGCTGCTGTTGTGATCTTACGAATGGGAGGCAGGGTGACATCGCCCCGGGGCTCTGACCCTGAGGCCACGGCTCTCACACCACATAGGACAGTGCCGGGGAGACTGGGCTCTAGGCTGGGTGAGGTCCCTGAGGTGGCCCAGCTCTGGGATGGCCCGAGGTTCCCTGCCCCCTTGCTGGGCCACCTGGCGTAGTCCCCAGGCCTGTGGACATGAGGGGAGAGTGTTCCACGGTTGTGCCGTGGCCCTGGCACTGGTGACCTCGAGACAGGGACAGCGACCAACCACACGAGGCAGGTCCTAGAAGGGGGCAGAGGTCGGGCTTGGGAAACGTGTGCAGTGCCCCTGCTGGGTCCGAGACGGAGGGGCCGTGTGTCCAGGGATGTGGTGGCTCCCAGGAGCCCCGTCACCCCACCAACAGCCGACAAGGAAGTGGGGAGACCTCAGTCCTGCAACAGCAAGAAACTGGGTGATGTCAGCAACAGGAAAGAGCCTGGAAGCGGCTAACCCACAAGGCTTCCAGGGGCTCCCCCAGCCCCACGTCCTCAGGCCCGAGGTGCCGCCAGAGCGGGGACCCCAGCGCCTCCCGGCTGCGCTCTGACCCGGGTCCCATGAGCTGGGCGCGGGCTTGGAGCTGCTGCGCGTGGGGTAAGCTGTGCGGTGGCAGCAGGGGCGATGCCCCCTCCTCGGTTCTCTGCACCCCCGTTTCTGCGCTTAGGAGAAAAGCACGTGCCCGGCTCACCGCCCTTGCTTTGGGCGCAGATGCTTCTATGAAAGGGCTTCAACGGTTCCCGTCCGCGTCTGTCCGCCCCCGGGACCGGGTTGCGCCCCCGGCAGGCGCGCAGGGCGCGGAGTAGCCTCCGGGGAGCCGGGAGGCGCTCAGTGGCCCCTGTCCCTCTGCAGCCCGCCTCCGGGGGAGACACTGCGAGCCCCCGGGCGTTCACACCCTGTGCAACCTCAGGACGCTCCTGGACAAGCTGCAGCGAGTGCACAGGCACGAGGTCGCCCTCTACACCTCGGGGCACCTGAACCCCAACAACCTCTACCGGCCCCCCGAGGTGGTCTTGCATCACTGGCGCAATGCCAACAGGCCGGCGCCGGGGCCCACCCCGGGGGCGCAGAAGGCCCCGGATAAGAAGGTCGCCGCCATGAGGGACGCGCTGGCCTATTTCACCGTCCACACGGCCGTGAGCCCCAGCGAGGCGCAGGGCACGCGGCTGTTCGGGTACCTGCACCCCCCGGCCCCCGGGCCGCCCGCTTCAGAGGAAGACGGGGCTGCACAGCCGGGGGCGGGGCGGGGGCCCCTGCGGCGAAGGAGGGAAGAGCTCAGGTGGCCGGAGCTGAAGGTGCTGCGGTTCCGGCCGCCGCGGTCCAGCCGGGGGTGCCCGCTGGCCGCCCCGGGCGGGGACGAGCTCTGCTACGTCAGCTCCTACCTGGCCGGCGTGACCAGAGCCGACAAGTACAGGAGGTTCTTGAGCTTCCAAAGAGACGTGCTGGCCACGCGGGACCGGCGGCCGCGGGACTTCACGGGGCGCGGGGTGGCGACGGGCCACGAGAAGAGGCTGGAGCGGGTAAGGAGGGCGCCCGCGTGGCACGGGGGAGGCACTGCTGCAGCCCCGGGGGCTCGACGCCTGGCTTGCGGGTCCGGGCTGCCGGCCCTGAGCACCCTGACGTGTGTCATGTGCGTGATGACGGTCAGGGTGACACGCAGGAGGGCCGAGCCGGAGGCTCCGAGCTGGAGGCAGCGCTGCCGTTAGGGGGTCAGGCCCACGCGGCGCCGTGGTGAGCGCAAGGCCCCGGGCGGCGGGAGGAAAGCGAGGGGGTGAGCAGACGGGACGGCCACGTCACGGAGGCGCAGGCGATGTCCCCCGGGGACCTGCCACGTCCGCAGAAGGTGGACAGTGTCGTGGGGGGGCCCCCCGAACGGCCCAGGGCTGCAGCAGGACGCAGTGACGGGGGGGAGGTGAGGGTGCGGGAGACAGGGCAGCGGGGGGCTGGTGCCAGCCGAGCGACCCTCGGTGAGACGTCCGGCCGGAGGACCGAGGGGGAGAGAAAGGCCCTGGGGACACGTGGGGGCCGAGAGTGAATCCTTGGGGGCGGGAGGCCAGGGAACGAATAAAGAAAAGGGCGACCCAGGGCGGGCGGCGCTGTCAGGGCGTCGGGCACACCGGGGGCGTCACCGGGCTGGGCCTTGGGCGGGGGGAGCTGTGTCCCCGGAGGGAAGCCCCCAGGGGCTGCGGTCCCTCGGCCGAGAAGGGTCGGGGAGGACCTGGGTGTCCCGAGACGGGCTGGCTCTGCTTCTCCGGCAGGAGCTCCGGAGAGTGTGCCTCTGTGACCCCCAGGAGCTCGGCAAGCTGCAGGTCCTCAGCCGGGTGTTCGAGGACATCTGCCGCAGCTCCCTGGTATTTGGCGACATCCTGAAAGAAGTGAAGGTAAGAGACCTACGGTTCCTACCTGACCGCTGAGAGCACGTGACCTTCAGCCTCCCCGAGAGTCCGCCAGAGGTCAGGGTCTGGTCCCTCGGGCGAGGACACCCTCTCCCAGGGCCTCGGAGGGAAGCACCACCCGGCGCGGCCGGGACGGGCCCGCAGGAAACTCCCAGCCAGCTCGGCGGAGCCTGTGTGTCCGCTGACGCTCCCCCGTCGCACACGAAGGGAAACACCTGCACAGTGCGTCGTGAACCACCTGTGATGACGCACAGGGGGCTTCTGGGGCTCCTAGGAAACCACATCTGCTGTGGTTTCACAGGCCGACGCCGCGTGGGGTTCGGTCGCCCACCCAGCCCCCTCGTCTCCATGTTCCCAGTGACAAGGAAACCTGAAAGCAGCCGCAGGCGGCCAGAGCTGCGGGGACTCTCCCCAGCCCTGGGAGCGTGTCTGCAGGTCAGCAGGACCCAAACCCACGGGGCTGCTGCGTGGCAGGCGGTCACGTGTGGACTCGCGTGGGGGCGCTTAGGGCGCTGTCCCCAGGCGAGCAATAGTTCACACTCGGGGACCTGCCAGCGCGGTCGGCGTCCGCGCCTTTAGTGTGGACGCTGCTTAATATGTTGCTGACGTCCTTTGTGTTTTTTAAAATGACCCGACCCGAGGGCCGCGACCTCCGTGTCGTCCGGATCAGCGGGCCCCGGCGTCGCAGCGAGAGCGCAGAGCTCACCTCCGGGCCCCTCTCCCCGCAGGACGAGTACGAGCTGTACACGGCCATCCTCCTGAGCGCACAGCCCACGGAACAGTACGAGGTACCCGCCTCCCGCGGCGCCCACACTCAGCCGCCGTTCCACGCACGAGCGGCCGGACGCGGGCCCGGGCAGACCCTCTGTGCCCCCGGCGTCATTCAGAGTCGCTGCGGCTCCCGCTGAAGGGCTGCCCCGGCACCTGCTGCCCGACAGTGTGGAGAAGGAATTTACTTTTATCTCCTGCTGACAGCGAGGGGGGGGCCCACACACAGCTCTTGGTTTTTCCCCCAATATCTCTGGCCGCCGATTCTTAGCGACCTTTCCTGCTGGCCTGTCCTTCTGGGGCCCGGCCCCCAGGTTTGCTCCGAATCGGCCTCTGCCCCCTCCCCCCCGTCTGTTTGATGAGCGAGGTTGTGTAACTGACTCTGACGTTTGTGTCACCGGCTCTGCATGTGTCACCGGCTCTGCATGTGTCACCGGCTCTTTCTTGCGAGTCCCAATTGTCCCCGTATCCCGCATCCCAGTGGATGTCGGCGCTTGGGCGTCTGGGGTATGCAGGTCACAGGCCTGAATGTCGGGAGGTTTTCTGGGTTCCCTGGGCGGGGGGGCCCAGGAAACCTAGTCACGCGCTCCCCTAAGAGCACAGCGTCTCCGGCTGGAGGCCGAAGGTGCGTGGCAGAGGGACACCGGCGAGATTCAGGCCTGAGGAGGATCCTGTGCCTGCTGGGGCTCTGAGATGGGGGGGCCGAGGGACTTTACGCTGCAGAGAAATGAGCTGCTGTTGGAGAGGATCGCCCGGAGGCTCCGGCGGGGCCCCCCTGCCCCTGCTTGCTGAGGTGGGGTCACAAGGGGACCCGGTGCCACAGCCCCGCGGCCACCGGAAGGAAAGAAGCCCGGCCCGGGGCACCCGCTCTCGGCCCTGCACCCTCAGCCGCGTCTCCCCGAGNCCCCCCAGACGCTGCTGGCTCAGGCCAAGGGGCTGGAGACGAGCTCCGCGAGGACGGCGGACGTCCACCAGGCCAAGGAGGAGCTGAGGGCGCTCGTGGCGGCCACCAAGGCAGCCCTGGAGCACAATGACGGGTGAGGAGTGACCATCTGATTGTCTGTGTCAGGCTTGTACTATCTCACGACATTAGAGCCACGTGACAGGCCCGCGTTTACGTTCTCCCTGTGTCACGGGGAGGCACAGCCGTCCCCAACCAGGCCCGTCCTCCGGCCTCTTCCACAAGCCGACACGTCTGTGGCCAGGGCCTGTAAGGCTGGTGCGTCTATGGGGGGG